AGCTGACTTAACCGAGAAGACCCCGTCGGCCGTAAAATGCCAGATAAGCTTATCAGGCACATCCCAACGCGGTAGTGATTGGTGTGGTAACGAAACAGGAAAGAAGAGATCAGTGTCACCGTATTTGAGAAGATACAAATGTAATATAGATTGAGAAGTCATATACAAAGTACCTTCTTCAGACGGCCTAACCCTAATCTAATCTGGAAAGATCGTGACTCCCAGTCGACGACAGATACTCTATCTTCAAATCATAGCAACGACTGGATTGTAGTTGTGAGCACTACTGGTTGCCAGTGGGTCTCATGATCGTCGGCCACAGAGTTGATCATATGTTTTTATTTTTTAAAGATTTTGAATGATTCTCAATGACTTCCTAGGACCCTAATTGGTTAGGGAACTAAGAGACGGGATGTTTTGCGTTCATTTACCGAAAGATGGAAATTATGTGCCACGGTCTTTGCATATTGACACCATCAGATCGTCTTTTTTTCTCACATTTTTCGAATGTAAACACTCTAACGATAACATCACTCTATCAATCTAACGAGTAGAAGAAGCTCGCACATACATAAAGCGATTCAATGGTATCAGCACAAACCACAAGTACCCTAACAGAATCTCCAAAATGATAGTAAAAGGCTGTCAAGAAATAAGGGCTTTCATTTGCACATGTCCTGAACAACACGAGAATACATGTGCTTCACAAATGGGGTCACCGGAAGAGGTACGATCGTGGATCATATAGACATATACCACACACTAACAAAAGGTGTGATGTTGGGTTTGAGGGTAAGTTGGTGAGTGAGTGAGTCACTCTGCACACTCACTCTGAGGCTTCCACACATCCCCCTCCCTTCATTGGATTCTCTCCCCTGCTGCAAGCTTTCTCTGCATTCATTCACACCAATGCTGCCACCAAATATAATGGGAGGAAGAGCAGGCAGCCTTTAACTATACTACTACTACTTTCCACTTCCCTAAGCTGAGACTGAGACTGCTCTTTCCTTCCGTTCTTTCCCCTTTGTGACAAATCGCACTAACAGGTTAGAACTAAGAGAACCCATTTCGCCACGCGTCCACTCCCAGATGAGATTCTTGCCCAACCAATAATCTCGTACAGCACATGGATTCTGTGTTCTGGATAAGCTTGACAGTTGACAGACCGTCAGAGTCAGTCTTCTCCCATACCGGCCTCTTTTAAGTTAACTACCTGTGGGGGAGAGCCAATTATAGCTTTTGCATATTAGGAAAAATGGTAATCAAAGGATGGCGTCGGGTTTAAAAACGACGTCTATTTCGATTTCGTTGAATGGTTTTTGTTCTGGGGGAGTTGTTAATTGCTTTGCTATAAACATCATCACCTGCTGATCTTTCGACTTTGGGTTGGTTTGGAAGATTTGAAACATTCCAACTTTGTGGGAGGTCAATAATCACTGACTGGGCTAGCTAACGAGAATCAAAAGCCATAGAAGGTGGAGAAATGGTGGTTTCCTCTTCTGATGCCTAGCTAACAACCCAGTCTGTTATATTATAACCTCTTGGACCAATTCAAGTTTTGTATAGTTATGCTTGGAATATGAACTAAGCCCAACTCGTTAATTTACCTTTAAATGTATACAGTCAAGCTCAAATACCATTTTTTTTTTAATCAAGTAAACTAAGGGGGGGTGATATTCGGGTGAGTTGGTGAACGGTTACACCGCGGTAAACCGACCCTTTAAATCGATAATAAGTTAGTGGTGTGGTGTGTTATCGCGGTAGGTTAAAAATGGATTCTTCGGTGTAACAGATGAACGAATAGTCGGTTAACACAGTTAATAGACAAATGAGCGAACATAAATATCTGCATGTTTCTCTACCTTGAAACGATCATGTCGCTCCCAAAAAAAACTCTCAAACTTGGAACTAATTAATGATCTCCTAACTGGCCCGACCCTCTTCTTAATTTCCCAAATTTTCACCCGATCTGAAATCGAAAGAGGCGAAGAGCATCGATTGAGATGAAAGTATCGAGATTGGATTGAGAAGATCATATGGCTTATGTTGGAGGAAAGATATATAGGGAAGACCACGCTCTTATTTGTTCCATCAATGGCTTCTCTCACCGAGTTTGCACTCATCTACAATAATACACAATTGAAAGAAGAAGGAAAAAAGAGGGAGGACTTATGTTACGGTACCAATTGGATTCTGGTCTAATCTTGGTGAGTCACTTGCTAAACGGTTAGTCGGTTAACCGACTAATATAAACTGCGCGATTAACAATAAACAAAAATTTCTTAACGATTAACCGATAACTGAATAAAACATTTAACATGCTGGGACTTTGATCTAATTGTGTGACACATATCTACAACGTTTGAATTCTACTTGTTTTTTCAGGGCTTGTGGTTTCCTTACTCAATACACTAATACCAGTTTTTGGCAAGTCAATCAGACAATCACGACTCACTCGTTAATTATCTCCAAAAAATCCCCCCAAAAAAATATCGCAATTGTACTATAAATACAGTTCAAGAATCGGTTGGTCTAATTAACTCTGAATTATTGTTAAGAAACCGACTTCTGCAGGTACAAAAATTTAAGGTGCATGCATGCATCTGAACTCTGTGAACAACAGTTATACAAGTCCTTTTTTACTATTGGATTTGCTCGATCTACCAGGAAATGAATATATGTAGCTGCAGTAATAAATATGCTCATTCAATTCACCACTCACCGCATTTAACACTTCCGTTTTCTCCTTTTTATGTTTTTTTTTTTTTTTCATATTGCGATAAATTGGAATATATATATATAGAGAGAAGAGAGACCAATAGGTTGGTCCAAACTAAATCTACAGAGGACAATACTACTAAATATTATTCACGTAGTTTTCATGGCCATGGTATATTTTCCCATAATTGTTGGGGTTTTTTCTCCATTTTTTTTTACCTTTCAATTTCATGGCATATTTTTTTTTAACAGTTTCTAGACCGTTACCAAATGTACAGGAAACAAACAATTAAAACCAGTACAAAGAGCAGTGAATCAGCAATTAATATTACCAAATTTGGTACATAATAATTAAAGTAATCAATCAATACTCCCAACTCACCCATTCATTCACTAGCCTGATCCGGCCACGGTATACGTTATACGGCAATAATAAAAGTAATTAATCCCACGCCGTTGACCGGATAACACTTCTAACTGTCACTATAAAGCTGATGGTAGATGAGGTGACTAAACAACCCCAAAGGGTAAAAGTCAATCCTAACTTTACAATGTTGTAATATTTTGGGAAATATTACGATTGAATGAGTAAAATGAAAGGAGTATTTCATGAAATTGAATTCAGGATCATTTTAATTAAGCATTTGGTATTGATTCACGAGAATCGAGTACTCGATGGTAACGTGTTTTTCTTCTCCATTCGCGGAAATAGTGAATCGTCTTTGAGACAATTTGCAAAATACCATTTTGCCCTTATTACTCATGTGTTTGACATTAAAGATTGTGAGGATTCAGATACAAGTTATTTCGATTATAGAACACTCTAATACCATGTAAAAAAAAAAACAAGTTGAATTCAAGAAACAAATTGGCAGAAGATATTCATATTATTTACTAACGATCTCGTATCTTAACCTAAACACATAAAGTTGTTGTGGTAGATTAGAAATCTATTGGTGAACAATGCACGTTCTACAAACGGTGTTATTATCAGGTAACATAATGATAATAACACGAATTTTGAAGAGAGAACATGATGGAATAAAATCCAAACACAATTCTAAATTTTTCGACTGTCCTTTCCCTTTGTTGTTTGCCAAACAAGTTAAGTGGCAATTGACAAATATGTGTAACATTTGACCTCTGCTTTCTCAAATTGTACTCCAACTAGTGTCGGCTTAAATACATATATTAGTTCTCTTTGGACCCCTCTAAATAGGACAAAGAAATTTACAGCATAATTTTCATTTATAAGAAGCCAAGCAAAGATGGATAAATCATTGATTCCTAACTCCTAGATTATAAACTGTCGTTTCGAATGTGTTTTTATGGAAGATATTGTTATTCTTGTGTGTAGTGGCTGAAAATATCGGTTTGACTATGATTGACCCATATAGTTACACAAATTTAACGTTCGTATTTTACAGTATGGCATTCTCTTTAGCAATAAATTGACATTTGGGATCCAATTATCATTTATGCAATCTTATTAGAGGTGGGTAAGTGATTGATATGTAAGCTAGATATCGCTGGTCCGCTTATTAGTCGTGTTTATTATTATTTTTGTTTAGCGACTATAAACATTGGTTTGACTCATCTGATTGAGCTTATACAGACACACAAATCTAACCTGGATTTCTTCACATGTCAACCATTGTAGTAAATACTTCAGACATCAAGTACTTTTACAAACAAGTCATCTAAATAACGAATTTAGTAACTCAACAATTGAGTCACTTTATTAACAAGGTAACTCCTTGTTCCATATCATTCCAAGTTTGACCTTTTCACATAACTTGGAAGACAATGCAAATGCCATAATATTAAAACATATCTACTTTTCCAAAAGAAATGGATATAATCGAAACGTTTCTTCTTGGCCTTTTGCTCTTGTTGTAGCACGGAAAGAGAATAGTGGGACTGTTGTATTTGAACTTCCTAGTCAAGGAAGGTTGTTGCTTCTTCCCTTCGTTCAAATTCCCTCTTTTTGAGCGGTCTGACTCTCAGCACGTGTACGGTGTACCTTTAATTATCGTTCATGCGTTATTAATCTTTTTATTATATTTCCAAAAATAGTCGCGATCACGTGACGAGAACACGTGCCCCTTCCAAATCCTAGCCCAGTAAAAAAAAAGAAGGCCTGATAACACGTAGCCCAAACTTAGACCGTCACCGTTACTGTGACTGACGGCTCATTTTCCACTTCCATTCAACAGTTTCAAAATATTAAATAATATTCATATATAGATAATATGTTCTGCTAACAATTCACATATTTCATTCGGAATTAAAAAAAAAAACAAAATAATAAACAGAAAAGAACGAAAAAAGGGGACAAAATTGATACTAGGAAGGAAGGAAGAGAAAACGGAAACATAACAACCCAAAGATTCTTCGTCGGATTTTGTTTTCATCCCTTCCCGCCGGTGACACTCTGCCAGAGACAAAAAGGCCGAATTCCGGCCGACGAGCTCGAACTCGCTGCTGTCCTCTTCTCATACGGAAAGCAGAGGATCCGACCCGAAAAGATCGCCGATGTCTTGAAAGCACTCGTCCGGGTTCCAGCTGGAGAATCCGAACCCGAAATCGTCGCCCGACCCGACCGCGCCGGTGAAAAAATCCCCGCCGATGAAATCCTGGCTCAGGAGCCCCTCCACCGCCAGATTGGTCTCGTCGAAGATGTCCCGCATCGAGCTCTTGAAATCGTAGGCCTCGTCGGCGAAGAGCGCCTCCATGGAAGAGAACTCGGAGGACTCCTCTTTCGCCGCCGTGAATGTGCTCTGCGACTGTGATTGTGATTGCGATTCGGCCTCTTCTTGCGACGACGGAGAGGGAAAACGGAGGGTTGAAGTGGGGGAACGGCTGCCGCCGCCGGCTGGCTTGCCGTCGTTGCGCGACTCCTCGGCGGAGTTGTATTCTGAGCTGGAGGTAGGAGCGGTGGCGGTGGCCGGAGGCGGAGGAGGGGTGAGGAAGTTGGTGAGCGCGTCGGGTCCACGCAGCTGGACGGCCGCGTTGTCGTACACCATCGCGGCTTCTTCGGCTGTATCGTACGTACCTAACCAGAGCCTCACGCGCTTGAGCGGGTCTCTTATCTCTGCCGCCCACTTCCCCCACGGCCGCCGCCGGACACCTCTGAACTTCCTCGCCGGCTCCGCCGGCCTCACTGACAAATCTACTCCACCGGTGGAAGATTTCGATCTCCCGGCCTTCGACCTCGAGGTTCTCCTCCTCGCCCCCCAAACAGGGTCGTACGAAGAGCCGGCGCCGGAAACAGAGCAAGAGGACTCCACAGTAATCTCGCTGACGAATTTCTTCACCCTCCGCCGCTGCCCGGAAAACTCCGTCTCTCCCTCGTCACTGGACGAGTCGGTGGCATCTGGGTCGGTGACAGATATTCTGACGACTTGAGTGGGCTTCGTCTCCGACGAGACAGAGTCGTCGGCGGGGAAAGATGGACGGACGAGCTTGGTGCGATTCCGATACTCGCTGAACTTGACCGGCGCGGTGGAACGAACATCGCCGGCGTGGGTATCCATTTCTTTTGCCCAAAATTTGTTTGCACGAATCTGTGGCTATCAGTAATTTGGCATTTGAGAAGAGTGAAAGGCCTAGAAATCAAAATATAAAGACGGGAGAGAGATTCTTTCGAGGCGCAGGCACGAGAGGGGAGAGAATAAAGGGGATGAAGAAGAAGAAAGGGGTTTTCAAAGGGAAGGTATGAAAGGGGGAGATATCATCTGAGCCATTAATGGATATTTGTGAAACTTTCTTCAAAAGCGTGCTCTCCCTTATTAAAGCACGATAAATTTCGAAGCAGAAAGCTAGAGCGTGGTGTGTGCCCTTCGTTCAAACAAACCAAAAAAAAAAAAAAAAGGCAAAGAGGAAAAGGGTCGAGAGCAGCAGACACAGAGAAATGGCGATTGAATGGGCGGAACGAAGAGAGAGAGAGAGGTAAGGACTGAATGACAGACTCTCTCACTCCCTCACAAAGAGGGAAAAAGAGTTTTTCTCAGGAAAGTGAAACCCAGCAAACGAATCAAAAATTGTTCTCCACAAACCAGCCTCTTCTTCCCCCGAGTGAATCAAAAAGCTCTGTGCAAGCACACTCTGTTTTTAGGAAAAACAGAGGAAAGGGTGGGGGAGCAGCAAAAAAAGGAGGAACAAAAGGGAAGGAAAGTGGGCGGGGAGAAAGATTCCAGGCTTACGAGGGCGTTTGGATTCCGAGAAAAATCAAAATCTCGATGAAGAGGAAGAAACAGTCTTTTCTCTCGCAGTATATGAAGCAGTAGGAGTAGGCGAAGAAGAAGAAGAATAAAGAAGTGAGAAATTGAAGGGGGAAAGTTGAGATACCCAAACTGATTCTTTTATAGCATCCCGAATTAGCCGTAATCTTCTTCCCCTTTCTCCTTCTAAACCCGTACCATAAAACGCTCAGTTTTCACTCCGTTCCGTTCCGTTTAGTTTTTTTTTTCCCTTTTCGTTTTTCCTTTTTCTTTGTAACGATACGCCGCATAAGAAGTGGGCGCGTGTGTGCGTTACACGTGGACGGGTAGGGCCTGGTTGGAGGAATTTGGGCCAATGAGAAGGAATGTGGTGGTGCTGACATGGCATTTTCGTTTTCTTTTTTTTTAGTTTTAAGGAAGGAAGGGGGTATTATGGGAATTTTGGAACTGGGAGGCAGGATCACGTGAGGTCGGACACTTTGGTACAGTCCCGGGCCTTTGACTAGCGATATTAATGCTGATAGTTTAGCTGTTTTTTAAATTAATTAATTGTTTTATTAACTAATAATAATTACCCTCTCCCGCCGGTTTAACATTAATTACCGCCTGGTTTCCCGTTAATTGCGTTCCTAAATTTTGACTTCTTCCTCTTGGTGTAGGGGGTGCTTTTGGTAATTTGAGCACCGTGGGAGGAGGGCAATACCGTTTTGGGAGGGAAAAAAGGGCCCTCTTGTGCCTGTCATGCAGTCCTTTACTGTCTTTTCCTCTTACTGTTATTTATTTTCATTTATATATTTTTTTTTTCTCTGGCTTGTTTGCCGTTTTTACAGCTGGGACTGACTAACGTGGCAGGCAGCTCGTCTTGAATTTGGCGCCAAATTTATAACTGGCAAGTGGGGGTAATAGGAAATTAGGAATATTTATGTTTCTTTCGAGTTTTATTCAATTTTCTCCTGCTGTAAACATGAAAAAACATTACCGACTAGAATTATTATTATTATTGTTGTGGTAAATAAATAAATAAATGCATAAAATAACACTGGCTAAGGATTTACCGTACTTGGCAGTGATGCCATGCCAGTAGGATCTGCTCTGTAGTCTGCTGTAGTTATCTTGGGATTTACCGTCTCATTTCACTTTTAAAAAAAAAATTCCTATAAAAAGTAATTTGATGATTGTTGTGTTTATCTGAAGATGTATTTAGCAAATTGAAATCGTAAAAATGACTAAAAATACACATAATAGTCATGTGAAAAAAGGGAAGAGTATATTTTAAATAAAATTGGAAATTTCTTATATTTTAGCTAAAAATAAAAATACGCATTAACTGAAAAAAGTTTTATTTTCTTGTAGTCCACGGTTCAATTTTCTACCTTGTTTCAGAAAAGGAGAAAAGATTGGGAATAGAAGATAGCTGTAAATTTCTGACATGGACAGATAAATACAAAATATAATTAAAAAAAAATACCATAGCATAAAATTGTACCAACAAAAGTGACAGTTCCAATTTCTGAATCCAAAACGAAAGAAGAAAGAGACAAAGGACAACGCTTGGAAATTATCGTGTCTGTTTTGCAACAAAGAAGCTTGGGGTACAAGAAAACGAATGAATGAGAGGCTTGAGTAGTTGAGTTTTGGGCCTTTTGAGTCTTCCCCAATAAAGACTCCAAAAAACATTAGTCTCATGACCCTAAGTCAGCAAAAAAAAAAAAAAAAAAAAATCAACAAAGAGTAGGTAGTGTGGAACAAGAGCACCCTCTTGGAATGTGTTATGCAGTTTACACTCCATTTTTCGGCTTCGAATAAGCCACAATCATTCTCAAAATAGTTTACACAAAATTTTAACTCGTTATTTTATAGTCACTCAAAGTTGGTTAATACTATTTTTTACACTCAAACGTGTGTCTTTCTGTTTAGAACTACCATTAGTTGAATATAAGGTTGTTATGAGTCGAACTGTTCAAGAACGGCTCGACGTTCGACTCAAAAAAAGCTCGTTAGAGTCGGGAAAAACTCGACTCTTTTATTAACGAGCATAACTTGAGCTATGCTTTGTTGAGCTCGTTAGGTGGCCTTGTTGAGCTAAATTTGGGAACGGTCTCGTTTTGAGCTCATGAAATGTCTAAACATTGTGACCAGCAAGCCATCTCGACTACCGACCTATGAGAAAAAATCAATCTATATCTTATGAGTTGCCTTGCTGATGATTCATAAGTTTGTTAAATTTTACATTTTCACTTCATATGATGTTTCTGACTCCGAGTAGCGAGTATGAGCTAATATGCCCATGTATGATAAGGATTAAGTCAATCACATGTATATCATATATGACATATAAATATTAAGTTATTTAATTTATTAATTATCTAAGAATTGAGTTTGAGCCAAACTCCTGATTTTAATGATGAGCCACAGTATTAATAGATGAGTCAGGTTCGAACTCAACTCGACTTACTTCGTTACTAAAGAGGGCCAAACCCGAACAAGACAAAATTCAACTATGCTCAACTCGGCTCATTGACCACTCTACTTGAATACGGTCTCTATATATCGGACCGTCAACTAGATCAAATTGCAATTTTTTTTTTGGTAGAAATCAAATTGCAATTTTCTGTACACGTGATTGATCTCTGCTTCAGAGAGCATATTTTCACCCTAGAACTACATATTAGGAAATTACCTTTCGGCAGTAAAAATTAAAGAGATAAAAATAACAGCATGGTAAATTTGACCAGCGTGAAAATAAAACAACTGGTTCGGAGTGAAGGGACCACGGCAGGCGGGCAGGTTGACGGCAAAACATTGGGCCAAACCAAAAACATTTTCTCGAAGGACGAGTGAAACAAAGAAGCCGCTCCCTACTCTGTCCTCTCATTGGCTTTTTGTCTCCTCTTTTGGTTTTGGCCCCCTCTATTTTCCATATTTATTTCATACAAAAATCTTTTGTTTCATTTACATTTTAAATCATAAGCTATACTTAGGTAACCAGTTCGTAGAGCGAGAGCGGGAGCGAGAGCGGGAACGGGAGCGTCAGAGCGTCTAAATTTCAAAAATTCAATGTTAAGAGCGTCGTGGGAGCGTCAATATTATATTATTTTTATTATGTATTTCATACCTTCGTCTAATAAGACATCATGTATGTAAATAAAAAATATGAAAAAAATGAAAAAAGGTTAGAAGCATTAGGTCAAATTGCTTAGTTGAAGCCCAACGCTAAGAAAAGAAAGGTGGGTTCAGGTCACTGTGTTCCATATATTTTCTTAATAATTAAGTTTGATTAAACAATTTAAGATCCAATTTACTATTTCATAGGTATATTTGTAAATTGTGACACGTGCAAACCTTAATTGACACCTGTTTCCCCTGGCTTTCTTCCCCTGCTTCCCTGCAGGCTCCTTTCTCTCGGTGGCAAGACCACCTGTGTTTTCTTTGAGATTGTTCTTTCATTGAATTTTCTTACGGTTACGCATCTGCTCTAGTTGTATAATCTGTGAGCCATCAACTGAAATGAACCTCATCTTCCGCACATCGCCATTAAAGCTACAATCAGCGGTGAATTACGGCGCGCCGGACTGAAACGGAGAAATTATAATGGACGGCGACCTAGTAACTAGAGTTGACGATGACCGGAGCAAAGCAACACATCCAAGCTTATTGCCACGTCGTGAAGCAAACAAGAAGGCAACATAATTGAGGAGGATTCCAACTTGTAATATTAAATCGCGCTCCATCATTCATCAATTCGCGCTCCAGCAATTTTGAGTTCGCGGATTTTTTGCGACTTCGCCGGAGTTCGCGGTTTCACGCTCTAAAGCGTGCGCGTGCAGGCTGAATGGACGAATTGGGTGACATAAAGCTATACTAATATTTGTATATCAACATTTTGCCATTTACAAATGAACATTAGTATGAAGTCCTAGGCCTTATGAGAATGAAGTGCTAATAAGTTTTTAGGGGGGCTCGAAACGATTACACAGAAAAGCACCATTATCATCGAGTTTGTCACATTTGAGATTTATGAGTGGTTTGGTTTATAAATTACACAGCCTAACAGTGATGATTGGTGTTGATTGAGTTGAATTTGTTGGAATTTTCGTTTTGCAGTTTCGTCGTAATTGAAGTGCATGCATGCTAGTTATTACTGTTGACATATGTTATTGATTCAATGATTAGGGTATTTGTTGACAAGCCGTGTTGTCACCTTTAACGTCCCAAATTCCACAGTGATAGTCGACGTAGGTGCAACTTTGGTTGACGATCTGAAACAGTGCACCCAGCATAGACAGTTGTCGTCGTCGTTGACACTTATGATTGACAATCCACTGGAAAAAAAATCGCTCCAACTCTACCATGGTATGTTGGCAAACCTA